CAGTCATATGTATCATCCATTTATTTATTTTACAGTTGTATGTGATGTTTCTCTCTTATTTTGTGGGTGTCTAGAAATAAGACTTATCTTATTTCAATGTTTTAAGTTCAAGTATACATTGTATATTAGATAACACTAATGAACAGATTAGCAAAATCCTTTTACTCTGTGGCAAGTTCTTTAGCAACATTTCCTTTGCATACTACTTACAAATTACACGTAGTCCTTGCTTAATGACTCCCCTGTTTAGTGACCATTCAAAGTTACGATGGCGCTGAAAAAGTAACTTTACAACTGGTCCTTGTATTTACGACTGTCACAGCATCCCCATGGTAATGCCTTCAAGATTTGGGCACCTCGCAACCAGTGGGCATTTACAACTATCACAGCTTCCCATGATCACCATTTGTGCGCTTCACAACTGGCTTCCAACAAGCAGAGTCAATGGAGAAGCTGGTAGTAATATCCCAAGTCACAGTTATGTGATGTTTCGCTTAATGACTGTGTCATTTAGCAATGAAGTTGCCAGTCCCAATTGTGGTTGTTAAGCGAGGACTACCTCATACGATATATAGCAACTAACACATACAGGATATAGCAACAACAATAGCTTAGTTGTATGCAGTAAAAATATTCTTAGGCTCTGAACTGGCTTTGTTTAAGTAACAAAGTACTTTGTTCAGTAACAGTTCCTCATTAGGAAAAGCTAAAAATGTGTTTCTTTGCTTGAACTTTTCAGTATTTGTTTGTTTTGGGGCTTGGCTACAGGCTTTGTTTACCAGTGATGACTTGACTGATACAGCTGAATTTTATTCAACAGCTGATCAGGCCTCAAATTTATAACTTGCAAAAAAACCACCCTAACTTAAATTTGCTACATATAGATTTGTGCTTCTTCTGTAAAATCTGTCTTTAAATTTTGGTCTGTACTGCAGCTGAAGTGAAAGTTTGGTCTATAATGCAAAATTGTACCCTAATTTTGAAGCAGAGCACTGAATCTATATTAATCTCACAAAATGAACCATGCAAATAGGGAACCACCACCTTTCATTGGAACAACTAGTATACAAACTTTTAACTTTAATTCAATTGAAGTTCACAGTTAACTCAATCTATATATAGAACATAATCGTTAATTATTTTAGCTAGGCAAATTTTAGATTGGCAAAACCCTAACAGAAAGCTAGACATACAGGCATGGATTAAAGAAGTCAAATTTTCTTTGAATTTTCTTTTTTAAATAATACAGCTCTGATATAAATGTAAATTATCTGTTGAATGATTTAAAATTTATTTACAAGTTAGAAATGCTTAAGTTAAGAAAAGGAAGGCCAATATTATTCATGAATCTATCTAGCATATTTTTATGTTCACAACCTGTGTGACTGTCCAATCATCACATGGCCATGATTTGTTCAAAAGACATTATACCAAAGAAAAACAAACTTTGTAGGCCAAATGCACATCTATTCCTTGAAAGTTTATTTACTATTAGTGAGGTCAAAGACCAAAAGCATACAAACACAAAATGGGTAGTATTGCTAAAACTATAAAGCACAGTAAAAATATTGAATCCTCTCAATATGTATTCTACAGACATTATATATTTAGAAACCTTTCATGAGATTACATCATCTTGATCTAATACTGAAGACAGGATGAATCTGAATGCCCTGGAAACTTTATAAAAAACACAACATAAAAAATGAGCTATGGTTTCCCATAGGGCCCATTCCACATGGACAAAGCCAATCTTCATATGGGCTTTTCTTATATCTCCCTTCCAGTACAGGTGTTGATAATGTATTAAAATGTGTTAATGACATAGCTCTAATGTAATTTGAAATTTCAATTTGATTTAAATATCTAGCTGCAATGGAACTAAAAGACTGGGTGAGATAAACCCTCTTGGCAGACAAATCTGTACTTCTTGTCCCTTTATATCTAAGGCTGTCTGCTTCAGCAATGACTTGGCCTGATCAGAGTCCAAAGCCAATAAAGCTTCTTGTGAGTATCTGTACCAGTTCAGCTTCTGCAGAATAGAACCTCTCCATTTAGTAATAAAACTGTTTGTTAAAACTAAGGAAACCAAACTAGCAGGAAAAAAGGATAAATTTAACCAGTAATTTAAAATATTGATCCACATGTTAGTTTCCATTCTGATTATGCCTGTGTCTTGATGCACAATCACATTTGGGGCATATCAAGGTACTTAGATTATGTTCCTCAAGAACTCTGAATGCAAGGACACCATAACTGCAATATTATTAAGGCACCCTGTCTAAACTCCAAGCAGATGCATTTGACTTTAACTATTAATACAGTGGGGCAAAAAAGTATTTAGTCAGCCACCAATTGTGCAAATTCTCCCACTTAAAAAGATGAGAGAGGCCTGTAATTTTCATCATAGGTATACCTCAACTATGAGAGACAAAATGGGG